TATTAATCATACGATAAATTGCCGTAAATTGTTATTCGTGCTAGTATTTTATTAAATGTCAATAACAGTGTTAATTAGTTATTATGAACATAACATTTTTGTATTAATGTATCTAAACTTGTCATTCATATTAATTTAAAAAAAAAACAATGTTTGGTCCATTTATTCTTTTCACTATTCTTCTTGATCATAATATTTTCCATAGCCGTTGCACTCAAGTCATTGTGATTCTGAGAAAAAAAACCAACACATTGGGGTATTTGTTTTTTAATGAGTAGATGTTTTTTTAAATTCGAAATCTAAATTTATATTTTATTTATAAACTACTGTGACAGTTTTAAAAGTAATACATTATGGTTACTTTCTCAAATGAACAATTAAAACAACCTTTTCTTGATTTTTATCATTGGAAACACTAAAACAAACGAATTTGAAAACATAGTTTGTTCTAGTATTTGACTTGAATTGTGTAGTTAGAATTCTTATAAGTAAACTTTGACTTAAATAGTATGAGCCTCTATTGCTCACTTAATTCACAATTAATCAACGTCGAATATAAGAATGGCATAATATAAAATAATGCTAGCACCAACATACTAACTACGGAGCTGATGTCAACCATCAATGGTATCTGCAAACTACAAAATGAATATAAAACTTTATAACTTGTGTAAATGTGCAAACAAAAAGTATACCTCTTCAGTGTGTTTTTAACCGCGGCTTTAGATGTTAGATTGATTGATTGTTGGTTGCTTAACGTCCAGTGGCAAATATTTCATGCATATTCAGGATGATTTAGATGTTAGAGTAACAACTATTCAGCTCGGAGTAAGAATAATTAGTCTAGGTATCCTATACACAGTTGTTACCGTGTGAACTAGTATCCTTTGAATCCGTTGACGGTCTAGTACACATCAGGGTTCCATTAAACAACCATCTAGCTTTTATTTCAATCGTTTAAACTCTAAAGATTTACATCTAACAAGAAAACCAATAGTATATCCTATGACGAAAGGTCCACAATAACAGAGTAGAAAATTCAGCATTAAAAAAGAGAAAACAGTCTTACCCTAAAATACTTCACAGGCAAAAGGGTAAATATGTCTTTTCGAAATGCGTGTTTTAAAATTTGATTTTGTTAAAAAAAAATTGCGAGGTAAAGTAACTATTAATTTACATGTGATGTTATGAAGAAGTTTATGAAATCATTATAGAAATGACAATAATTACCCATTTAATGACCACTCTTTATACATGTTATAATATCTATTTCATTTGTTTAACAATAAAACTAATTCCATTTTATATATAAAAAAAGTGTTTTACTTTCTGTTTGTGCTCTGAATCCAATAGGGTTATGCGTTACATACATAATCTTATTGTACGTCCGCCTTTAAATTGTTATTCTCTACATGTGTCATTTAGACTTAAGTTGTACTGCTCTTCAAATGGATTGTATTGATATTCAATATATAAACTTTTACCAACAATAGCGATTAAATAATTTGGAAATGGGCATCTTGTGATGCAATATAGTGATAATGTTTATTTTATTCTAAAGATGTTGTATCAATATTATAATATAGGCACCATTTATTCAGATAATAAATTATACGATCAATGTTTCCTGAGAAACGTAACGATTCGATTGTGTTGTTAAATCTTTGAAACGTCATATTTTTACATGTATCTCCGTTAATGTTTGATACGTTTCCATTGCAAACTCCAATAAAATTAGATTATCATATCGGAAAACTAGAGAAAAACCATGTTGTATATGACGACAGTAGTAGCAATTTTTGCACTTTTTATGCATTCTATAGCAAGTTTTGCTTTGCAATCACAAACATTTAACAAAGAAACAGACACACGTATAGTTTTAAGTGGAGCATCAATGGTGACAGCAAAAGTGGAATTTGGATTCGAATGTGCTATCATGTGTACAAATGATAATAGCTGCTGTTCCAGTAGCTTCGACAAATACTTGAAACAATGCCAGTTTTCATGTTCATGCAATCCTACAATTGAACACCATAACGGATCATTTACATTTATAAAGACTCTGAAATCAGGTATAGATTTTATAAATATATTTTCAAATTTAAGTTTGTACGTTTATAACTGCACTATAATTTTGTATAATTAAATTGGACTCAGCATTAATTTGCATTTTGCCGTGCAGACAGACTCGATTGAATATTATCACTGTTGTATAATTTCATGCATGACATTGCATTACATGGCATTACTTTTTTCACATACAATATATCTTTCACAGATTATTGAAGATTCAGCTAAAACCGAATTTAGGTTTTTTGATTAATAAAAACATAATCATTTGGATGTTGCTTTTTTTAAATCTAAAAACATCACTATAATAGTGTTTTATTGTTGTTAAAACATCAATGAATACCTTGTCATGATTAAATAACAGATAATTGATCATTGTCATAAACACTAATTAGTTAGTTTGACAATCAATCTTTTCACCAGTTTGACACTTGGTCATAAATTAAGCTCTTTGTTTACTATAGAATTAGGAAAATATTAAACTTCATCTCTATTATATCTGTTTTTTTATACCTTGAAACCCTTATGATGTTAAAATGTAATTGTTGCATTGAAAAGAATTTTTACTTGATACTTAAATTGAATAGGTATACGGAACAGTTATTGGCGCATATGTTAGAATCTTTTGTGACTTCATGTTGTTTTTCAAAATGTTTGATTTTTTTTCACTTAATAATAACATTTTCAAATGTAATGTGTAATTCGATGCATTATTTTGCAAAAGTAATTGTAATATAATGCATTACTTTCATTATTGATAAATGCATGTAATTGTAATTGTAATTAAATGCATGCTTTTGTCAAAGTAATTATAATATAATGTAGTACATTGCAATGTAATTCGCCCCATGCCTGCAACCTAGACACTATTTTTCACGAATTGGCGAAATTATTAGCATAACAAAACAGCGTATCACCTGAACTAATAAATCATACACCATGAGCCAATAAGAAATATGATTGGAACTCTCAGACAGTATTTTCCCGCTATACTGCGAAACGCGAAAAAACTATATATATCTTAGTTTTTTTTAAAGTTTTTTTCATTACATTTGTTCCACGTTTGTTGCATAACCAAACTTGATATTTAATCAATAGATTCATCATTTTTAAACTATCCCCAGAAAATATTGTTTTATAACTTGTTAATAGTGATTAACTAATTGTCTTATAAAGCAAACATAAACATGATGAAAGGAAACGACATGCAACAAGGCCTAACGATATTTTTTTTCTTGTCGTTTGTCTATTTTATATGCAAATAAGCCTTTTTATTTCTACATTATTTCATAATTCATCAGTGTAAATTTCGGGTACACGTAATCGATACTAACGTGATATTTTTATGAAATATTCCCTCTAAAGATATTAAAATTATTGAGAAACACCAGTTTCAATTCTCTCAGGTAATTTTACCGTTGATTAATTAATATTTTTATATCACTTTTGGTTCTTTAGTTATTAAAATTTCTTTGTGTTTATTCATATGTGACTTACCAACGCTCAAATTTAAGCATTCGAAATAAAGGTAAATTCAGCATGACGCTTCAGACATTCATAAAGCTATACTCACATTTTAGTGCGAAACAATGCATTACAATACAATACCTGTATCTTGGCATTGCACAAGGTCATGTTTTCCTCTGACTGTTTATGACGTCTTTCCACTAAATCCATTGGATGTTGGATGTGTACGGATTGATAATTTAGTCTTAGATGCATGATTTTTTTATTAGTTGTTAGTGGCTTTGAACTAGCTGTCAGTTAACTGCGAGTACTCTCAGATCTGTACCTAGTGTCTTTTTGTTGTTGGGATGTACAAGTACCCGGCCATGTCCACTTGTATTTTTGTCCATCTGATGAGTTAAGCCTTTTTCAACTGATTTTTATAGTTCGTTCTTATGTTGTACTGTTACACCACTGTCCCAGGTTAGAGGGAGGGTTGGAATCCCGCTAACATGTTTAACCCCGCCACATTATGTATGTGCCTGTCCCAAGTCAGGAGCCTGTAATTCAGTGGTTGTCGTTTGTTTATGTGTTACATATTTGTTTTTCGTTCATTTTTGTACATAAATACGGCCGTTATTTTTCTCGTTTGAATTGTTTTACATTGTCATTTCGGGGCCTTTTATAGCTGACTATGCGGTATGGGCTTTGCTCATTGTTGAAGGCCGTACGGTGGCTTATAGTTGTTAATTTCTGTATCATTTCGGTCTCTTGTGGAGAGTTGTCTCATTGGTAATCATACCACATCTTCTTTTTTTTATATTTATTTATTTATTTATTTATTTATTTATTTATTTATTTTTTATTTATTTATTTATTTATTTATTTATTTACCTTTAATTTTTAATTTTTTATTTTTTATGTTTTATTTTTTATTTATCTAACTATTTATTTATCTATGTATTTATATATTGACACCTGTAAAATAGTTTTGCGACTGTCAATGGTACCTGATGGTACCTGTAATGTACTACTAGACATTTACGACTAGTTTTTTGTGAAACAAACATTATTCATTGTCAATCATTAATGACTACACCGGAAACGATCTATGTCACAGTTAATATTGTTTCAACTTTATTGGTGACGCACTATTTTTAAAAAACGGACACATTCTAAGCAACCTGCAGTCTTTATTTACTAAAAACCTTTTTTCTACTATTCATTTTCATACCTATAAAACCTTTCATACAAAGCGACTGCAACATTTCATGCTATAAATAAAAGTAGAGTGAAACATTACGACATTGTTATGCACTTTATTTATAATTACAAAATAAAAATTGAGATGAGACAGTTCTGATGACCATATATAGACAAAAACATAAAATGTACACTTCATAGCAACTGTCTTCGAAATGGATGAAAAAAAGAGAATACACAAATAAAACAAGCGTATCGTAATATTTTAATTCCAAGATATAGTTTTCAGTATTCCAAAAAGGGACTGCAGTGAACTACCACCTGGAACAAATAGTGGGGTGTATTGTATTCAGCCTGACAACGGAACTGAAATATCTGTGTTCTGTGAAATGGACATTGATAATGGGGGATGGACTGTAAGTATACCTTTGATGTTACACTATTGTTTCAGGTGAGGGTGACTGTTGATGTTACACTATTGTTTCAGGTATGGGTGACTGTTGGTACCTATTAATATACAATATATGTATGTTGTCGGAAAATATAAAATGTATTTGTATGAGCTTTAGAAACATGACAAAAAGCGACGCTCCGCCGAGCTTTTCTCCTGTTTCGTAGAGAGTACAAATATAAATATTATATTTTCCGGCAATATACATATATTGTGTTTATCCTGAAATTTCTCCCAACACTTGAAACTTTAGTTATTAAAATCAAAATCAGTGTCTCTAATTTCTCAAAGAAATCGACAGTTGAAACGCGGACCGCGAAGAGGACCCCATAATGAACTGGTTAGGAAACAGAAATATTCATATTACCGCTTGATCAACGTGGAAGTGGGGTAACAAGAGACTCTATTTGTACAAGTACAAATAAAGCAAAAAATTATTTGTATACCTGTTATTTGTACAATAGTTGGCAAATTGCAGGATAAAAATGTTAAACATGTTTAAACCCGCTGCATTTGTTTGCACCTGTCTTAAGTCAGGAACCTGAAGTTCAGTTGTTGTTTGTTGATGTGGTTCATAAGTGATTCGCGGTTCTCGTTTCTCGTTTTAAAATAGATTAGACCGTTGTTTTTTCCCGTTTGAATGGTTTTACACTTGTCATTTTTGCGGCCCTTTTATAGCTTGCTGTTCGGTGTGAGCCAAGGCTCCGTGTTGAAGACCGTACTTTTACCTATAATGGTTTACTTTTACAAATTGTGACTTGGATGGAGAGTTGTCTCATTGGCACTCATACCACATCTTCTCATATCTACTTTCTTTACCAAAATAGAAACAAAATATCAAAAGTTGAACTGGGTTTATTAAGCAAGCTATTAATTTCTTAGTTTTTTAAATTTCCTAGAATACCACATGCATTCGGTGATCTTCTTGTTTCAAGTTTTCCATGGGTTTATTTATTTGCAGTAGTGATGGATGTATATTTGAAACTCCCCTAGAAAAATCAAATTTATATTCATTGATATTGCGGTTGTTTATGTGAATTGTTTGGTTTTTTTCTGTTTGTTTCCTTTTGTTATGTATATAGGGCATTTTCATCGGTCGATGCCACTGCTGGTGGAGTTTCAATTCCCCGAGGGTATCACCAGCCCAGTAGTCAGCACTTCTGTGTTGACTTGAGTTATCATTGATATGTTCATAATTATAAATTAACTGTCAACAAAACTTTGAATTTTTGAAATACTAAGGCTTTTCTACCTCAGGAATAGATAACCTTAGCTGTATTTGGCAAAACTTTTAGGAATTTTTGGTCCTCAAGGCTCTTCAACTTCGTACTTAATTTGGCCTTTTTAAAATTTTTTGATTCGAGCGTCACTGATGAGTCTTTTGTAGACGAAACGCGCGTCTGGCGTAAATATAAAATTTCAATCCTGGTATCTATGATGAGTTTATTCATACAAGTTCTCAAATTAAAAAAAAAACCTTAATGAAATGTCGCAAGGTTTACAAATTGAGGAGATATTTAAGTTTCTGTTTCAAAAATATACCATAGAGTTGACATTATCAAATGTGTACCACTGTACGTTTATCCGTTACTCATTGTTACTAGTACATATTTAAAACTACAAATTAAAAAGAAATAAAAGAATATTATTAATGTTAAAACTGGTATTTAATTATAAATATTTCAGAGGTTAACTGTACTACAATAGGTATAAAGATCTTTTAAAAGATTACTAATGCAATCAAATGTCGATTTAAAAAAGAAATATTAGAAAGAGAAAAGTTAGATTAGAAAACTCCAAAATTTCCGCCTAAATTCTTCGACTGTTTAAGTCATTTGTTATTGTTTGCAAATCTCTATCTCAATATATATTTATCTCTTGTACAAGAACGAAAAGGTACCGAGTAGACAGACACACAAATCAAAGTCCAGTAAAACATTACCAAAGGAAAACAGTTCGTTGATAAAACGGAAAGACATTACAATAACAAAACACCATACAAAACAACTGGTAGATAAGTTGTAGAAATATTTTGAAACCCATCATAACTCGTTAATATTCAAAACAGATTTAACTTACATTTTCTATCAATATTCAATTGGTCAAATACAATAGCTTTGCATATAGTTTGTCATCTTACATAGCTTTAACTTAGATTTTCTATCAATATTCAATTGGTCAAATACAATAGCTTTGCATTTAGTTTATCATCTTACAAAGCTTTGCCTATAGTTTATAATCTTACTTTATCAGACAATCCAGAGACGATATGACGGCACTGTGGACTTTTATCGGTTTTGGGAGGATTACAAATCTGGATTCGGGCACGTAGATGGTGAACATTGGCTTGGTATGTCCCTAAACGCATTATATTATTGAAATCTGAATGGTTAACAAATTGCTGTTTGACATCTTTCTGCACTAAACAGTGGCATTTTCTGACAAATTTTAGAATAATTTCATGCAAACCATTGCTAAGTTTGAGCGTACAGGTACTAATCTAATAAACCAAACTCTTTTTCAAATGTGTAACATCACTATACACGTTCACAAAGTAGTCTATATACATTAAGTTGTTTTCTTTAACATTGGACAGAGGGTTGACATTTACTAAAAACATGAGAAAACATGAAAGAACTTATATTGATTTTAAGTTGTACTAAAAGTGTTTTTAGATAAACATTCATCAGACATGCAACAACTGCTAATAAATGTTTGAAAAGCAACATTCATAAAAAGATACATTTTTTGAACGAAAAAGAACCAACAGAGAAACAAAATCAAAACGAATACTTGATCATGAATTTTGTTTAGTCAATATCTTTTAAGATATATATTTGAAGTGACATAACATATAGTTTATAAACTTGAAAATAACAAACCCAATGTTATATCTAAATAACAAAAGTACTGAAACACCGTGTTGTGTATTGTTAGTTTTCTAGTGACATTAACAAATTAATAATTCGGGCTTTTCACAAAACAAGAAGTTTCCACTCCAAATATATGAAATAAGATTGATAAGTTATACACATTACACATTTAATTGAACTCAAAAGGATTCTATTTGACTTGTATCAATTAAAATTAACATTAATCGGTAAATATATATAAACAGCGGCCTTTGGTCGATGACATTGGTTTGTGAATTATATTCCAACTACAACTGAGCTGATATGCATAAAAGTACTCAAGTTAAGGTTTGTTCCGAACGGACGTTTTTTTTTGTATACGTCCTACGATAAATAAGTGCTACGATTGGATATCTTAACTTAAGTGGTTTTGTGCATATCAGCTCTGTTGACTTTTTGAGGCCGTATCTAAAAGCAGCCAATTAAGATTCCTTAAATGTTTAAATAACTACATGTACATGTAAGAGGGGGGTCGGAGGGGTCCTGATCTCGAAATCCCGGGATTAAAAACATAAAATCCCTAGGTCCCGAATTTTAAAGAAATTTAAATCCCGACATCCCGAAATCCAAAAAAAGAATTCCCGGATCCCGAAAGGATCAATCCCGATCCCGACGTCACCCCCATGTAAGACCATATTCAGATTAATACCTATTGTTTTTTAATCTTGAAATGTGTTGGTGTGTTCATGAAATAGAATTGCTGTCTAATTGTCTCATAAACAACGCGCTTATTAGTAGAAATGCCTAAAAGCGAACGTACAATACACTGTGAACATACAAATCAATATCAGCTTATATGTTGTACACGAAAAATATGTATCAGGGTTTACATCTCCGCAGTTATATTTTTCTAATAGAAAATTGCCAGAATGAAAACTGTAATTATTAAAGCTACCTTTATCTTTACACATCGAGTGTGATGTCAAGACTTATCTATTTGATTAGGGCTTTCGACATTAGTTATTTTTCTTTTACGTATCTACTATTATTCATATATATTATGCATTTTGAAAGACAATGAAATATAATTCAAACACACCTTTTTGACAGAATATCGGAAATGAAAAATAACCCGAATGTTCAATCGCCAGTTTTTGGTGAGGTTCGTGTTGCTTCGTCTTTAGTTTCCTATGTTGTGTCTTCTGTACTATTATTTGTCTGTTTTTCTGTTTGTCTTTTTATTTTTAACCATGGCTTTGTCAGTTTGTTTTCTATCTATGAGTTTGACTGTCCCTCTGGTATCTTTCGTACCCCTTTTACCACGTTTAGAAATTTAAATATTGTAAAATCCCAATAAGTAAGGTACGTAAAACTACTATCGGAATAATTCATTTGGTAACAAACGTACAAAGATTGATACAAACACACATCGATATTATTTAACATAATAGTTGATTCAGCTATTGTGTTTCATTGTGTCAATGATAAAAATCATACCTCTTTTACAAGCTGAAGTACAGTTGAAGGAAGTGCTAATAACACTATCAGTATAAATCGTACATGTCGTACCAGGACTTAATAATGAATGTATCAAGTCGTTTTATTTAATTGAAAATGCTTAAACTAAAAAGGATCGGTACAATTAAAAGCATAGATGTCAAAACTGTATGCAAATTGTTGTCAATTCAAAGGTACAGAATACGTCCAGCAGCAACCTTTCAACAAGGACATTATTATCTTTTTTTCTTCTTCAGGAAATGATAATTTGCATTTCATTCTACGACAAGGCTACTACCAAGTCCGATTTGACCTCGAAGACTTTACAGGGGATACATCGTATGCTATTTATGATACCATATATGTTGGGGATGAGAATACAAACTACACACTCAACCTGACTGGCTACAATGGAACAGCAGGTAAAAATGATTGAAAACAATACAACGGAACAGCAGGTAATGTATGCTATGTATGATACAATAAATGTTGGGGATGAGAGTACAAACTACACACTCAGTTTCACTAGTTACAATGGAACAGCAGGTAATGTATGCTATGTATGATACAATATATGTTGGGAGAAGATTACACACTCCACACTAAGTCTGACAGATTACAATGGTACAGTAGGTAATGTATGCTATGTATGATACAATAAATGTTGGGGATGAGAGTACAAACTTCACACTCAGTCTCACTTGTTACAATGGAACAGCAGGTAATGTATGCTATGTATGATACAATATAATGTCGGGGATGAGAGTACAAACTATACACACTCAGTCTCACTGGTTACAATGGAACAGCAGGTAATGTATGCTATGTATGATACAATATATGTCGGGGATGAGAGTAAAAACTACACACTCAGTCTCACTAGTGACAATGTCACAACAGGTAATGTATGCTATGTATGATACAATATAATGTTCGGGATGAGAATACTAACTACACACTCAGTTTCACTGGTTACAATGGAACAGCAGATAATGTATGCTTTGGATGATACAATATATGTTGGAGATGAGAGTACAAACTACTCATTCAGTCTGACTAGTTACAATGGAACAGCAGATAATGTATGCTTTGGATGATACATTATATGTTGGGGATGAGAGTACAAACCACACACTCAGTCCCACTGGTAACAATGGAATAGCAGGTTATGTATGCAATTTATGATACAATATAATGTCGGGGATGAAAGTACAAACTACACACTCAGTCTCACTAGTTACAATGGTACAGCAGGTAATGTATGCTATGCATGATACAATATATGTTGGGGATGAGAGTACAAACAAAACACTCAGTATCACTGGTTACAATGGAACAGCAGGTAATGTATGCTATGTATGATACAATATATGTTGGGGATGAGAGTTCAAACTACACACTCAGTATCACTGGTTACAATGGAACAGCAGGTAATGTATGATATGTATGATACAATATATGTTGGGGATGATAGTACAAACTACACACTCAATCTCACTAGTTACAATGGAACATCAGTTAATGTATGCTATGTATGATACAATATATGTTGGGGATGAGAATACAAACTACACACAGTCTGACTGGTTACAGGGGATACATCGTATGCTACAAATGTATGTATGACACAACATAATGTTGGGGATGAGAGTACAAACTGGTACAAAATGGTATCATACGCTATAAATTTATTACTTTGGGATATCATAAGGCATATTTTGTTTATAGTGAACAAAAGGGTAAAACATGCTACACAGAAGAACAAGTGATCAGTATGCTGGAGTTTCTTATCGACAACATATTTGTTGAATTTGGAGGTAGACTTTTTCAACAAATTGTCGGCATTCCTATGGGAACGAACTGTGCACCTCTTTTTATTTTCATATGAATCGGAGTTCCTTCAGACACTTGTCAAAAACAAGAAGGTCAAAGAAGCCAGATTTTTTAATTTTACTTTCAGATATATTGATGATGTTCTTTCCATTAACAATCCGAACCTTTCTGATTGGGTTCCATTAATATATCCCCAGAACTAGAAATTAAAGAAACAACAGACACGGCTTCCTCCGCCTCATTTTTAGACTTATATCTCGAATTTGACATACACAGTCATCTCAGTACCAGAATCTATGACAAACGAGACGATTTTAATTTTAAAATTATAAATTTTCCCCACCTTAGTAGCAATATACCAACTTCACCTGCATATGGGATATACATTTCCCAACTTATTCGATATTCAAGAGCTTGCAACTCCTACTCAGACTTTGTAAAACGTCACCAGTGTCTGAGCAGAAAGTTGATGAACCAGGGGTATGTCAAAGAACGTCTCGTCCTTTTTCTAAAAAAGTTCATCGGAAGGTACCAAAACCTTGTTGAAAAATATTTCATATCAACTTCACAAATAATACATGATGGTCTTGAAGTATAGATTCTGCGTACTGACGTTGTTTATCATCTTAACAACGTGTTATATTGTTCTTTCATTTGTCTTTGTTCTATTATTAATATTACTTTTACTGTTTGGTGTGTTTTCTGTGATATCCATTTAACGTGGCTCGGTACTTATACATCCCGTCAATGTGTTTGTATTATCTTTCATTTTTTGCTGTTGTGTTTTGTATATGCGACTTTTTGTGTTTCTTTGGTTCTGATAACGTGACTCTGTACTTTAAAAGATCCCGTCATTATGTTATTGTTCTATTATATGTCATTATGTTATTGTTCTATTATAAATTTGAAAATACTTTGAACGAATAACGACAAATTTATTTTACTCGCGTAGTGGTATTAACCATATGTGGATTCTTAAAAATTCTAAAGAACTTCTGGACAATTTTTAATCTTGGTCTATTTCTGAAATTAATTCTAACATAACTTTTGATTTTTTAACCCTGTATACCAACATTCCCCATGTGAAATTATAAAATTGTTTTGAATAAACATTGAACGACAAAATTTCTTCTTATGTGACGTTTACATTTTCTGACGTCAGACACGCGAAGCAATGAATGTGGTTTTTAATTTGATAGATGCTTTTGTGCTTTAAATTGTAAATATAACGGAATTTGATGAGACTGTCGTACAAGTGAGAGGTTTATCGCTATAAAACCAGGTTCAATCCACCATTTTCTACATTTGAAAATGCATGTGCCAAGTCAGGAATATGACAGTTGTTGTCCATTCGTTTGATGAGTTTTGTCATTTGATTTTGCCATGTGATTAGGGACTTTCCGATTGAATTTTCATAGGAGTTCAGTATTTTTGTGATTTTACTTTCTACACACTCAGTCTGACTATAGACAATGGAACAACAGGTAAAAATGATTGAAAGCAATCATTATCTCCTTTACTGGACCTTTACGAAGTTATACCATATCTTCCATGACTTTTAATACTTAGTTAGATTTATAAAATAATTTCTTTCAAAACATAGCCATAAAACCAGGTTCAACCCACAGTTTTTCTTAAAAACGTCTTGTACCGAGTCAGAAATATGGCAGTTGTTATCAAATAGTCAGTTTCTATGTATTTTGGCGTTTTTTCTCGTTGCAGTTCATTGTTTCTGTTGTTCCGTTGTTTTCCTCTGATAATTGATGTGTTTCCCTCTGTTTTGGTTTTCAACCTGGATTTATTATCGCTTAATTGATTTATGACTTTGAACAGCGGTTTACTATTGTTGCCTTTATTTTGTTGATGTTTGTAAATGTAATTCCTAATTGATCACTTTACTTTAAAATATGAATTTTCAGTGCGAAATCAACTTTTACTGAGTATACGATGATAGATTGCCCTGTAATTCAATATTCACAAACAATTTATGTATATTGTCAAAAGTTACTCTGTTATTGGTGCATAGTGTCTTTATTGGATTTTGAATGCTAACATAATTCATAAAGCTTTCAGTTGTAATTTAAACGTATGATATAAGAATAGCATAGATAACTGTCTTCAACTTTTCTTAATAATCATCAGATCTTCAATTATCAACGCATCTATATTTCGTTAAAACAGTTCATATCGATGATAAATACATTTTTGTTTGTTTCATATCGATTTGTCACTAGTGTGTATTTGACATCTTAATAAACTTTTATCCATGTTCTAAGTGAAAACTTTCAAAGTCAACGTTCAATATCGTTGACGCGATAACGTTACTTGTTGTCAGTTTATTTCCGGCCCTCTTTTACGCCTATTTTGATATTTTGATTTTTTTTTATCCTCAACAACACTTCACCTGTTGAATACCAAAATAAAAAAAACAGTAATGACCTCATGTGTTAAAACGGAAATTAATGAATTAAGGATGTTAGCTTGTCATGTTTTGGGATTTTTGTCTGATTTTCGGAATCCTCTGGTTTTATCCATTTGAATGTCCTAGAAAAACTTGCCCGTTGACCCCCATTTTCTTTTTATAAATCTTTTAAATGTATAATTATCAGCCATCTCTAAAAGTCTTATAAAATCTTTGTTATTTTTTTATAGCTTTTGGGAACTTTAACTTGTTAATGATAATGCTACGAAATATCAAGAGAGAACATTTTCCCGCCAAAATTTCAATGGCTAATATCTCAAAAACAAGCACATTGACCTATATATATATTTTGTTTTGCTTTTTTGGTTCTTTTATTAAACCCCTATCAATATATACTAGTGTTATGAAAAGCTGGTTATTTTGAAACTGAGTAGCGAACTTCCTTAACAACCAATCTTCAATTTGAAAGGGAAAAATTTAAATTTAAAGACATTTTAGTTGGTTCGATATGCTTCTTACAGACATGTCGATCTTTTTCTCAAAATAATAAAAAATAAATACCTTTTCACCTTAAGTATGCACATTTGTCCTGAATCTGTGTCATTGCCGATTTTCCTTACTTTGATCTGAAGCGAACAGTCAGTTTTAATCATTTTACTTTGTTCATATGTGTTTTTCGAAGGGATGTCTACAGGGGTATCAACTCCTTTTAATATACAGAAATCTGAATACATTTAACTGTCTCTTTTAAACAGAAAGAATAACAAATAATCTTTAAAAAAAATCTACATACAGTTACAATTACTGTATTTTGTATACAAAGGTATGTACACAGTTTCAAATATATATTATACATTATTGTTGCATTACTTCGGCTTTGAGCTTTCCGGTCTAGGATAAATCCACAAGTGCACATAAAATGATGAAAGATTGATTTTATTGCAGGTTTAGTGATATGAATAGTGTTAAATAATGGTGTTACCTATTTTTAAACATGCTTTGCAGGTCATGCAATGAAGGATTGGCATCCAAATCAATTAGATGGTATGATGTTTACCACTCGTGACAGGGACAACGATCTAAGCCCAACTAACTGTGGTATCAAAAAGGAAAGTGGTTGGTGGCATGCTGCATGTTCCTATTCCAATATCAATGGTGGTTATGGAGAACTGTATAATAATACTGCGAACATGTATTGGAAAACATGGAAACCAAATGCACTAAAAAAGACAAGAATGATGATCAAACCAATTTAAACAGGCAAAATTGGAATAGTTGGTACTTAGAAAGTAAACTTGAAGAATCAGACATTTTTTCCAGAAAGATTATGTTTAGATTTCATTTGGATATGTTTGTATTGGCGTTACACATGGTAGAAGTGTGTTCATAATCTATCATTACATGTAGGTAGTTTATTTCCGGCAAGATTGACTGAACCAAGTATTTTAACTATTCCAATTAATGTAATATTTCTGTTAAGTATCAAATAAAAGAGCTCACTGACTGTTATTTTACGAAGATGTGATAAAAGTTAAGATGTGATATCTTACCAAATCAAAATCGATATATGAAATTTATGTTATTACGTCTTTGGAATAAAATGTTCTTCGCAAGCGATTTCAAACGGTATATTTTGGTACGATTTATACTTTATACTCATCTGACTTTTCATATTAAATTTACTGATACTTGAATTTATATATGCATATCTTCACACCTTTAAGATACCTTGTTTGTGATAACCTGTATTCTTTGAATAAATATATGATCTTACTAATTATATTGAGTACCATTGGTATCAATATCGGTGACAAATAAGGAAATAGCAGAGGAAAAACACTCATTAAGTATGATAAAATATAAAGCCTTTAAGTGACATTCATATTTCGCTAATAGAAAAAAAAAAACAATAATAAGTCTTGTTAGTTAATCAAGAATCAAGGGAAAAGATAGACTTTACAATGCATCTTTTAGTTAAAAAAAAAAAAAAAAAAAAACAAAAGGATTTATGGACACACAATTATATTATCATTAGCCTGTTCCAACTTTATAGGTTTAGTTTATTTTTGACTTCTATATATTCAGATACATATCATGGTGTTATTTCATGTAAATTAAAAAAAATATCGTAAATAGATTTGATATTGTTTTCAAGAATTTCATGAAAATTCAAGGATTCATTAAACATACAGCTAATAAAATAATAAAACTCAACAAACATACTTTTTTAAATCTATGAAGCATATTTATACATTCTGTGCAAAGAGGAAATAAATAATCTTAATATATAAAACAAGTTATATGAGGCACTATACGTATAAAGTGGAAAATCATTTTTAAATTACAAAAGTCATAAAACAATATATTAGCAAAGTAAAAAATTCACACTATTTCACAAAGTAATTCAGTTGAAATAATTTGATGAATTGCTGCGTAAGAGTAGTCTATCGCGTTAATTAGTCCTTGATGGTTTCTTCCTTTCATTAACCGATGTCGGGTGTCTATTACTCTGTATCGGGGTTTGTTGTTTTTTTTGGGGGGGGGGGGGAGGGGGGTGTTCTTGTCTCTTGTTGTACATTCTATCAATGCTTGGGTATTCCTCTTATTTTTGTTAACCGAATTTAACATAATGTGCCATATCATAAAATTGAGAATGGAAATGGGGAATATGTCAAAGAGACAACAACCCGACCAAAGAGCAGACAACAGCTGAAGGCCACCAATGGGTCTTCAATGCAGCGAGAAAATCCCGCACCTATTAAACCTATTAAAATTTGGTCCTTTGGTATAATAAACCATTTTATTACTACTGTAAATTATGTTGCATAGATACATGAGATTAATATAAATATTCCCAAAGAGAGGAAAGACCTAAACGTACTAGTATATATTACGACAAACGGAACAGGGAGCTGTTTCACGTGACCACAAAACTGTTAATCGAATTATTGTTTTATCTGCAATAGCGTTCCAATTAAGTCGGCAATACAAACATAAAAATTCTAAGCTTATACATTATGACAGATGAACAAGCTAGGAAGAGCACTACGATCCAACGGTAAGATGAATTTATAAGAAGTCAGTGATCGATTAACATATGTTTTATCGCTCTTAGTGTCATACTGCCCTACATAACATTTATAAAAAGGTGAAAGTTTGGCAATGAGGATATTTGTACTCATATAAAACTTGTTAAACCCCACCACATATGCATGTGTGTATGTGTATGTCTATTCCAAGTAATCAAATTGGACCATATTGCATTCCTTGTTGACTGTCTTTGTATGCTTTTTTATGTATCAATGTTTACTCGGAAAAAATATTTTTCAATAACAGTTTTAAATTTGATGAAAGAGTGGCTTTTTGTCGATAAAATCTACCTTTCGTTTATACACTACCACATAGTATGGATTTTTTGACATATGTTTCTAAATTGTATTTTAGAGAATCATTTTTGTCGAATTTGCGGTGTATTGCAGGGTTGTTTGTACAAAGAAAATGAATTATTTTGTTTCGGTGTTATGTATTTTGTTCACTGGAGTGTTTTCTAAAAATGCTTTAAAAAGAAATAAATCTGATAAAGATGGAAAGAGCAGTCCACTGATATGGTTAATCATACGACAGCTAAATGCCTTAGGATCACGTGTGGAAAAACTCCGAGATATAGCCCATGAAATCCAAACGACATGATTTCTATGAAACGAGACATGGTCGATTTGAAATCTAAATAATTCGCCATTGGTAAAAAATGATCCATCACTCGATGAAATAAATTCTAAACTTTTAGCAGTCGTCAACAAAAAGAAAATCGACCATCTGACGACAAAATTAGATAAGTTCACTAACAGATACCATGGTAACATAAGAAGTTGTTGACAATAATGTGAAATATAATTGAAGTCTAATATTAAGATATATCATAAAAGGGTCGTAAGGCATTAACATACCTCAAAAGAACATACAAAAGTTGACAATGTCAATAATTCCAATTGTTGTAACGTGACAAAAATTCCTTCCTTTAATTCTTTCTCCGTTTATCACTGAATGTTACAATACTTTTCATAATAAACTTCATATATACATAGATCACCAGAAACGTACGGTTAACTAGTAGAGCAAAACTTGCATAGCCTCTCGAATCACTTGACTCTGATTTTTTTCACCTTTCCGGTTTAAATTGGATTATGTTTTCTGAGTACTGCTGTTTGTCATCTTGTATATTCTAGTATTTTAATCGTGGTAGTGTAGTCTGGCCTTCATGTTGCTTTTTTTATTTCCCTGTTATCTTTCTGTTTGTTTGTAATGCCTTTAGTCACAATCGACAGAAGGAAAACATCGTTTTTGACTTTCTATTTGATATTATCTAATTTATTATCTGTATCATCTCGATAAAAAATCAGCTTATTTTTATCGTTTTACCTTGCTGACATTCCTATGAACAACCAATGGAAATGCTATAGATTGCAATTCTGTATATATAGACAATGCACTTTCCCATAGGAACTCCCTTTCCTGCTAAAACTGAGCTATACTTATTATGAAGGTTCGTAAAAAATTAAATCCTAGAATGGAAAGTCGATATGCATCACTATTTTATTCAATGGTCAAAACATAGGGCTGTGTGGCATATTTTCAATATTTATATTCAGCAAAACACGGATTCCACTCCTTCCATTGTTATTTGTGCATAATTAACTGTTTTGCTATTCTTTTTCTATTAACAACCTCATTTTGATGAAAGAAAAAAACCACAGAAGAGAGTCATCCAGGTATCAATATATGTTTTATACTGTTTAATATTTTTTATTTATTGTGGTCTTAAGTAAGTATAAAAAAGAAGATGTGGTATGATTGCTAATGTGCTCGTAATCAAGAGCAATTAATGTTATCTGTGTATTTTCAATTTTAATCGGTTTGTTTTACAAAAAAGAAGCTTAATATATATATTAAAAGGACATCAAAACTGAAATGTCGAAAACAAACTGACGATAGAGAGAGAGGATAAACATAAACTTTTATAGCCTACTATACGACATTGGTATTGCTAATTTTTGATTGCCGCTAAGTGACTTGTACTACACATTCTTGTCGTTTGGTCTTTGGTGGATTTTTATCTAACTGTCATCTATTTATTTCATTTTAAGCCATTTTTTTACAAGTGGAGGAGGTACATATGTTTGATGGGTAAAATCTACCTGTCCATCAAAAAATGCAACTACACTTGTTTATTCTGGTAAGTGTACATAGTTTAGACGAAGTACAAGATTGATAACTCTCATTAAAAGATATACTTCCTAATGTATAAAAAGTAGAATAGCAAAAATACTGAACTCTAAGGAAAATGCAAAACGGAAAGTCAATGTAAAGGTAAATACTAGTATGAAATTTGTAGTTGAAAGATGACATTTTTTGCCTACCGACCATTCATCTTCATGGGACAAACCATTTTTTTTACTTTAGTACTTTAGTACTTTTTGTTTAATTTAGTACTTAAGTACTTTTTTCAATAACATACCGGAACATTTAAAAATCCTTCTTGAAAACCCCTACACTTTACTTTAGCGAAATCAAACAATTTTCCTCACTTAAAAAAACTGAATCTGAACAATTTATCTCCCCCCTCCTTTTCCCCCCAAAATAAATAAATAAAAAAAAGATGAATTAGTCTACGCATAACCGATACAAAAGTTTATAGAGATATCTTTTTGATTCAATTATATGTTATGTACATGTAAATTACGTGTACATGTTGTTTACTGATGTGAACAATTTTCATGTACAGGTAATTAAAACCGATGTACAGATGAGAACAAATTTAATGTGAAACCAGTGTTCATTACATAAAACTAATTGTAAATAGGTTAACAGTACCCAGCGTTTGGTGTGAATACGGCCTAAGGTAATTTAACATAATATCCATCGTCTGTTATGAGATATTTAAATCAGAACTATATTTAAATTGAGAGTTTGCAATTGGTGCCTGCGTTTTGGCTTGTAGTGTCATTATAGATTTTCAAAACGTAGGGATTCATAACCAATTGTACAGTTAAGACATGTGTCCACTCTTGTTTATTTATAGGCAACGCGGGTGGTGGTTACTACGGCTATTCAGGGTCACCTGCGGTACCCGTATGCCTTCCAAAAGACCCTAATTTCTTGATAAAAGCTGCTAGTAATCCAACTTACATATACGGCACGGAATTTAAATCCATATTCTTTAGTTCGAATGCTGTTGATCAAGACGTACCATGCAGTGTCTGTCATGTTCAATTTGGAACAACAATTATGATACCTGGAAAAACTACATGTAATAAAGGATGGAAATAGGAGTATGAAAGAAATTTAGCTGCAGGCGCTATAGGACAGGAACGCCGCCTCTTCCTGTATATGTGTTGATTTGAATCCTGATTACGTTCATCGTGGAGGTCACGAATACATTGGTTATTTATTGTATGAAGTAGTTGGCCAATGTGGAACTTTGCCATGTCCTCCTTATCGTCATGGATATCTTCAACATCTGCCGTATGTTCGAAATGATATTTAAACATAATTAATAAATCAAAGATATTTTTTAAGTATTATTATTTATTCAAGATTTTCAGGTAGTAAGCAGCTCTAGCGAAATAAGCTCAAGCCAAATTAAATTGTCGCCAGGGAAATGAAATCTGTTTTTTTTTTATGAAGATGTGTCAACCTGTAATTACCATTTGTGTAGAATGACGTTATGTACATGTACAATAGTAGTGTCCCTATTGATAACGTCATATGCTAACGTCAAAATCATTTTTATTGATGGTTGTTTAAGTGCCTTATAGGTAATCGCACACATTATATTAGTGACGATGTTATTGGGTTACCGCCGACACGTGGTGACGCCATCTTGATCTGTAGGGCTCAGT